ATCGAATAATATTTATGCCGTATTGTAACTCGTTTCTGTTAATCAATCTAGGGGGAAAGGGCGGACTTGAAGTAGAAAAGTACAGTAAAGTACAAAAAGTACTTCAAAGTCGCTCGAAATAGCTTAAAGTAGCTCGAAGTAGCTTAAAGTAGCTCAAAGTAGCTCAAAGTACTTTTTAATTACGTTTAAGTAGCTTCAAATTACGTCAGAGTACTTGAAATTATGCTAAAGTACTTTAAAGTATTCTTAATGATCTAGATATACATAGAACAAAATTAAATAGTGTTGAAAAACTATGAATGATTAGTTTATTCACTTTTGACAACAGTAAATACTAGTAAAACAGAAAAAAATGAAATAAATAAGTTTACTAATTATGACCAGATGTTTGTTGCATGACACGAGATAAACGATCACTTGATAATTTCGTTATCTGACTCGATTGCAGCCAGCAGGCCGATTGTTTGTGAAGATACTTCATATTGTCATTTATTTTGACTTTGAAATACGATTTTCTTATAGCAGGATTAATATTATCAACTATTCTTATTCCATTAAAATCTGATTTTGTTGAATTTAATATATTTTCATCATCATCACTAACACCGTCACTTTGAGCATCAAAAAGAATTCCATCAATAAGTTGGCCTGGTGCATAATTGATGATGTCATTATCTTCGTTTTCTTCATCCAATCCAAACTCGTCAGTGGTGTTATTTTCTGTTCGGAAAGAATAATTAATCATTCTTGAATTGTTATTTAACATGTCGAAGATATAACTACTTAAATCATTTAAACAATTTATTTTATGCTCATTTAATTTATCTAGTATTTTCGAATGTTTAACCAGGCGTAACGCTTGATCATATGCATTTGATATTAATTTTTGAATATCTAAAGTATCAATATTATCTAATTGATGTGATGATTGTAATGGATGTTCGCGTTTGTGTTTGTGATGTATGGGAAATGATAGATCTTTTTCCAAATGATTATGTTTAAATTGATTTAATATTGATAGTTTTTGTGAACGTCGCATAAAGTCTTTTACGGTAAAATTGACGACCGTTGAGGATGTACTGCTTAATGATCTTGCATCTCTAAATAATGACTCGCATGGTTGTGAATTGAATAAATGTATATTGATTAATGCTTGCTTTGGTAAATGTTGCTGTTTCACTAATAGTACTAAATATAGTAAATTGTGTGCGTTCAACTCAACAGACATATATGCAGGTCTAATAATAAAGTATTTGTTAATTTTATTTTTTCTCTTGCTTGTTATTTGGCTGGCTTTCGATGATTTCAAAGTTGATGTTTTTTCTAAGCAAGACCACCAAAGGCGACACACAAATACTACACACCATGCTGATTGAATACCTAAATACATAGAAAGTGTTAACAATTAATCAGTTTGACTTTTTTCGTCTCTAATGTTAAAAATGGACTTACGTTCATGACTACTTGTCGATTTATCAATGTATGCTTTTACTATCATTTTTAACAATGTTAAATAAACAACTGTCCCATTGCTATCTATACTATCATTAAGAAGATTTATTACATCGTCTGATATTAACTTAATACATGAATTATAATTTTGGCGATCTTTAGGATTAATATCACTTTTCGTCAAACCATGATCTAATTTTGTATAACTATTGTTATCGATTAGTTGTTCTATATGTGCCATACTAATTTTATCGTTCCCAATATATAAATCCGCTGTTGATGATAACAATCGATTACGCCATTTGGTAACGATATGTACCGGATCTTGAAAAAACAAGAAGAGTTGATTTCTACTAAGAAAAAACCAAATCCAGTCATTCGGTATATCTATTTTAAATGCATGTTGATGCTTGTCTAATTTGAAATTGGGTAACGATGCGAAGAAATTACTGGCAAGACGCATGGCACTTATGTATTTGTTATCTGCATCTATTTACAATTAAGATACATTTGAGAGGAACATTGTATAAATAAAATTTACCTGTAGAAAATCCGATAATGCGAACATCTTTATCTAAACAACGTTCAAAAATATACATCCATCGTCGTAAAATATCCATAGCTGTAAATTTGTTGTCAACACCATAAGCAGAGAGTAAAACTGGTTTCGGAAAATTTGTTGGATCATCTTCTGTTGATATACTTTGAAACATATGCACATTCAATAATGGTGCTGTTTCATTGGTCTTATAAATGATTTTAAAATCATCAAATGTATCAGCTTGATAATGTTTCATCAATGGAATACCATCAACAATTGGTGTTGTAAATCCAATGAATGAGTTTGTCGACGAATCGTATTCAACTTTAGGAATGATACCAGTAGTATCTTCAGAATAAAATCCAAAACCTGATTGAAACTTTTGAAGTGAGTCAAATTTAAATTCTGCT